AAGGCTATCCACCAATAGGATCACAATCGCCAACTTCGGGGCGATCCAAGGACGAACAAAGGTTAAGCCTCAAGTGCGGATGCTTCATGAGGTCTAGAGGCGGGAGGACCCTTCTTGTTCGATGCCGCTGCCGAAAGAGCTCGAACCCGCAGTTAGAAACTGCATCAGGGAGACGACCATCAAGACCGGCGACGGCATGCTGCGCGACTGTGTGTACCAGCGTAGCTCCACCAAGCTGACCCTGGTCGAAGGGCTCTACCAGCATGATTTTGGCGGCGACCCGGCAGGTTTCTTTGAGAGCGGCCGCCGCGCGCTGAGCCTGCACCACTGGAAGTCGTGGTACAGGGCCCCCGTCGTCAGCATGGCCGCCGTCGCCAACATCTGCGGCGACTGCTTCATGCAGCGCTGGCGCTTCGCCAAGGACACCCTCCTCGCCAACGGCTACAGCATCACCGTCTACCGCGAGGGCCTCGACTCCGTCGACCTCTCCCGCATGGAGGGCACCTTTAACGAGGCCGATGGCCGCTTCGATTTCGTCTATGGGCCCTTCCGCCCGCGGCTGGGTAAGGACCAAAAGAAGAGCTATCGCCTGGTAGCGGTCGATGGCGGCACCTCCAAGGGCGACCGCTTCCGCCAGGCGTATGTGTACCGTGCGAAGCGCGATGAGGAGGGCGTTGAGCCGGTCGACGAGGTGGTGGAGTTGGTGTGGGACGTTTGAGGCGAGTTCGTGAGGGTTGTGATCTCGATCGTGTTAAGCTGGCGAACAACAACAATATTAAGTAATTAGGGAGGAAGAAGGGAATAACTAGTGGTTAAAATGTGAGCTCGAGGAGGATGGGGATATGAGGATGAATTAGACGGTGGTCAATGCTTGAGGCTGGCGTTCGGGAGCCAAGGAACCGGCCGGGCCTTGTTTTAAGACATTGCTTTGCTTTTGTTTCTTTTTTATATCTTTGGTTATTTTTGGCCTTTTTCGTTGTTGTTATTCTGCAATTGCTGCTCCATGGCTCATGTAAATAGATTTGTGTGAGTAGGGGGGTGGATGATAGCATGGAATCATGGAATTATTAACTAGCAAAGCCAGCCAGTCGGTCGGGTCAGGGGGGGAGATGGAGGGGGGTGGTCATCTCGTATTTGTATTTGTGCTGTGCTGTGCTGTGCTGCGCTGCACTAACTACCTACCTTACCTACTTCAGTTGTCTCACCATAAGCTGTGTTACGTTATCGTATGTCATGTTATGGCGGGCAGACAAGCAACATGACACGAGAACCTGAGCGAAGATTTGGAAGTAAGATTTGGGGTCCGAGGATGTGGGTTCGGAAAGCGTGTTGTGATATCTTATGGCTTCCATGGTTGGTGGGGGAGGAGACGAAGGAATGGGGGGTGGAAGGACGGGTGGAGGGATGGGTGGAGGGATGGTGGAGGATGGAGAGGG